TTCCATCATCTCTTTACTGATTTTCCACCCTTTTTCTGTCCCCCCTGAACCTCCGCAGGAAGTTCTCATCCTGTGTAGTCCCCCCTTTATGTTTGGCCTGACCCCTTCAGTTTCCCGTTTCCTTCTCCCCCTTGTAACTCTACTATATAATCAAAAATCAGAACCACATGATCGCTAGCTCCAAGGGGGCCCCTCGTAAGTGATTCCTCAATGTCTGAACTGCTCAGGGTGAACACAAGATCCAGTCTTGCGGCTCATCCTCCCTCCTCCTCTGGTTGTGTCCCTGACATGTTGATGCATGAGGTTTTCAAGTACCCCATCCATCATCTTGGCTCTCCATGTTTCGGGACCCCCTGTGGCTCCCAGGTTTTCCCATCGATCTCCCTGTGGTTGAAATCGCCCATTACCATAACTTTGCTCTGCTCGAGTGAGCTTTTTCTTGCCACCTCAGCCAGTGTGTCCACCATCACCCTGTTGTTTTCTTCGTACTCCTCTCTTGCCTCCTGCAGTTTTTGTGGTGGGTTATACATCACTTTCCAATGACTACTTTATGTTTTTCCTCCGGGCTGAATTGTACCTACAATGTAGTCCCCTTTCTCCAATCATGTCCATGCCTTCCATTTCCTCAAATCCCCATCGTGTTTAATGACAGTGCAAACCCTCCCCCCCTCTACCCCCTTCTATCTTTCCCAGGATCTGATATTTCCCCTTGGGGAAAATTGTGTCTGTTATTGTCCCTCAGCGAGTTTTGTTTCTGTGACTGCTATGATGTCTGGGGATTTTTCACTGATTCTTTCGTTCCACTCCTCATTGTTTTTATCCCGGGTTTTTAGTTTCCATCTGCGTTTGGGGGTAAACACATATCCAAGTTATCCCCTTTTCCCCCATTTTTCCCTTGGGGGGCAAATGCAAGAAAGTATTGGTGGTTGGGGGAGACGACGAAAGGGCCCCTTTTGGTGGGTCCTATAAATGGGGCCCCCGTGGTTTTTAGTTTTTGGGGTTGGGGAGAGCTGATATGGGGTGGGTAGGGGGGGAATGGGGGGCCCCCTAAGGGATAGCTGTTGGGGGGAGGTTTTTTGATATGGGGGTTGGTGGCAGAGGGAACAGTGAGTGGGGTTTAGATAGTTGCTCAGTTGCGTTGGGCTGTCGTGGTTGAGTCTTTTGTGGGAGATTCTGTGGGGTGTTTGCCACAGGCATGTGTACTCAGTTCCTCAAGCTTCAACATCCGTGCACACGAGGGCCTGGGATCTTCAGTCAACTTGGCGTCCACCAGGACGCTGACATGTCCCTAGGACAGCTCTCCATCGGCTGCTAACGGAGTCACTGGCTTCTTGGACCTCTTGGGAGGGTCGATGGTGCTCGTGCAAGCAGCAGATCCCTGGGGAAAATTCTGCTGTTTGCAATGGCTGTTTTGCCGAGGAGACAGGCACCTACAACATCTGTTGTTGGAGCAATGGATGAATTCACTACTATTTTGTTAACTGCTCATTTACTCCCGTAATTTGTCTATGATTGTAATCATGTCATAACGTGTTTATCATTCACTAAACCCTTTTAAAACGTGTCATGATTGTGACCAGCTCTACCTGGAGATCATTACCTTTGTAAATTCTCCATGATTAATGTGTTTATGATTCATTACCTTTTCAATTATTCATGAATGTGACCAGCTCAACCTGGAGCTCATTTAAATTTGTAACTTGGTTATGATTATGACCAGATCTAGTTCATTACCTTTTTTAACTTGCTCACTATCAAAACTTTGGAGTCCAGTCCCTGGACCAATTATGTTCCTCGTAATCTTTTGACTACCGCCCACGGAATGGGTATGGGGTGCATAAAAACATATAAACTAACTGGTGGAAGTGATGAACATAGTGGTGGTAGCGATGACATGGTGATACAAAAACATGGTGGTGGTAAAAATCATGGTGGGGTAACGATAGCATTGTGGGGGATATGAAAATGGTTGTGGTAACGATGAAAAGGGGTGTATGATGACATGGTATGGTGGGATACATGGGGGGTACGAAAGCATGGTGGTGTAGTGATGAGCTGGCGGTGGAACGATGACAGGGGGTGGTAGAAGGCATGGGGGTAAACGATGAGCATGTGGGGTAGATGACATAGTGGTACAATGAAAAAGGGGGGGGAAGCGTGAGCATGGGTGGTAGAATGAACATAGGTGAAGTAAAGCAGGGTGGGGGTAGTGATGAAAAAAGGGGTGGAAGTGATGACATGGTGGTGTATGATGACAGGGTGGTGGTAACATGACATTGGGTGTATGATAGCTGGGGGTTACGAAAGCAGGGGTGGGGTAGTGTGAGCATGGGGTGAAAACGATGATCATTTGGGGGGTAGGAAGCATAGGTGGAGTGATACATAGTGGTGGTATGATAAAGGGGGTGCAGTGAGACATATGGGGTAGTGATGAACAGGGTGGGGGCAGTGAGACATAGGGTGGTATGATGACATGGTGGTGGAAAAAGAGCAAGTGGGGGTAGTGAGGGCCCATGGGGTTAACGATGATAGGTGGTGGTATAGACATGGCGGTGGAAACGATAGCAGGGGGTGGAGTGATGAGCAAGGGGGTATGACGAACATGGGGTGCATGATGACATAGGGGTGGTAGGATAACTTTTTGGTGAAACGATAAGCATGGGGGGTGTAGGATGACAATTTGTGGTAGGATAACATGGTGGTGGAGTGATAAAAACATAGGTGGAAAAAGATAACAGGGGTGGTATGAGCAGGGGGTTTGGTAACGATACTTTGTGGTGGTAGTAAATGAGCATGGGGGGTACATAAAAATTGGTGGGGTAGTGAGAGCATGGGGTGGTAGTGATGAATATGGTGGTGGTATGATGAGCAGGGTGGGGTAGGGATAGCAGGTGTGGTAGTGATGACTGGTGGGGGTAGGATACAGGTGGTGGAGTGATACATGGGGGTGGAGTGATGAGCATGGGGGTGGGGGGGAGACAGGGTGTGGGGAGGCAGGGGTTTGGTATGAACAGGGTGGGTAGTGATGAAAAGGTGGGGTAGGGTGGCATGGGGGTGTAGGGATGAGATGGTGGGGTAGGAACATGGTGGTGGTCTTGATGAACATGGTGGGGAGTGAGAACATATGGGTAGGGATGACCGGGTGGTGGTCGTGATGAACAAGTGGGGGAATGATAAACTGGTGTGGTATGATGAACATAGTGGTGGTACGATAAAGGGGGTGATGGTAGCAATGAACAGGGGGTGGAAGCGATAGCAGGGTGGGGGAAGGATGAACAAGGGGTGAAGTGAAAGCATGGGGTGGTGTGATGAACAAATGTGAAGTGCAGGTGGGGGGGTATGAGAAAAATTGTGGAAGTGATGAGCATGGGGGTGGTAGGATAAACATAGGGGGAAAAGGATGAGCATGGTGGTGGTATGATGACTTTGGGGGTGGTAACATGACATGGGGGGTATGATGACAGTGGTGTTTGCGATGAGCATGGGGGGTTTGGTATGATGACTGGGGGTGGTAACGATGAGCAGTGGGGGTAGTGAGACAAGGGGGTGGTATGAAACATGGGTGGCATGTTTAAAAGTGGTGGAAGTGTAAATTTGTTGGGGGTAACAAGCATGTGTGGAGTGATGACATAGTGGCGGAAGGATAAAACATGGGTGGTAGTAATGAACAGATGGGGGAAACGACGAACATGGGGGAAAGGAGACTTTGGTGGGAACGGAGCTTGGGGGTGGAGTGATGACATGGGGGGTAACGATGACGGGTTGGTGGGAAAGGCTGGGTTTGGTGGGGAGAGCATGGTGGGGGTGATGAACAGGGTGGTGGTAGTGTAAACAGTGGGGGAACGATGAACATGGGGGTGGTGTGAGCATGGGGGGGTAACGAGACATTGGGGGGTATAAAAGAGCTTTTGGGGTGGTAGCGAAGCAGGGTTTGGGGGTAGTGATACAGGCGGTGGTAACGATGAGCAGGGGTTTTTTTAAACCCAAAACCAAAATGGCCTTTCCCCCGGTGTAATGGAGCAAAATAAACACACAGAAAAATTTTAGACTTATATTATCCTTCACCAATTTAAACAGCAATATTACCCCTAGTTCATGAAAAGATATGCACCCACGGTAAGAAAGGTAAAATAGAAGCCACAAGTAGCAACCGTCTTCAACCACCAAATGGAATGACAATGCAACAGGGAGAGTGGTACCCACATAACCTCTGCGATTCCCAAAAAACCACTTCTTTTTGGGTAAAACCGGTCCCATTTAACGAGGGGGGCCCCCATCATCACCTTACAACCTGGTTCGCATTGGGGGGATGCCTGTAAATAGGTGTTACATGCGCCGAATAAAGTTATTACTCTTTGCAGCCACACCCCCACCCCAAAGGCTCGGTTTAGCTGTCACCTCCCAGGGTAACCGGCCCCAGGGCACAAAAAATGGGCCCCCCCTTTTCCCCAAAAAACACCAACCTTAGATAACCCAAAAGCTTT